TAAGTTTTCAGTATGTTTGCCTGGGATCTAGACTTTCAGTACCCACGATCACACTGTAACTATAGTAGATCTTTTATGCTAACAACTAACAGTATAAAGAAAGTTAAATCTTTCTAATGAAGATCAGTACATCTCCTGTTGATAATTTTCTAATATCAGTTGGGAATAGGAGCTTCTGGGTCAGTATTCTTTTTCTGCCACAGTTCGAAGCTATAGAATCAAAAGTAATATGACTAAATTTCTTATCGCTTATGCCATTTGTTAGATGAAATTCATTGTAATTAAAACGAAAATTAAGATATTCACAGAATATAATTACCATCACAGAAAGATATGCAAATTAACGGATATTTTCGTCTCTGATAATTGTCTTAAAATATTTGCAAATTGCTTATGAACTCTTACTCATCTGTGTGATCTTTCGAAAAACTGAATAATCCACAATTAGAAGAAGCAAAAAAAAAATAAATATTATAAATTTATATTTTATATATAAATTATTATTAAATTTAATTCATAGAAAAATGATACATCAGAAATAACCTTTTGGCCATGATTGTGCACTGTGTTCTGCATTTAAAATCTTATAGCTTCATTAATTTTAAATAAAAAATAATTTATTTATTTTTTTATTTTTGTTTTGAAAATCTTTAAGATTTATATTGTATATTAATTTCAGTTCGTATATAAAGTGTTATTCATATGCGCGTGAAGTGTCCATAATATATCTGTTGTAGATATGTATAAACAACACTCTATGCTTGTGTATATAAGTATCTTTTGCTTTGCAAGATTGGTTGCTATAAGTACGATTCGATTGTTATAATTTCAATATCAAAAGTCATCAGTAACTCAAGTAGGCTTTGCATTGGACAGCGGCTGCCACAATCACAATCTCAGCAGCAGCAATCGCAGTAGCAGCAGCAGCAACGATTTCTGCCGCAGCAATAATATCTACTCTGACGCACACGCGCTGTTGTGCTCGCCTCTGTATTTGTTACCGTTGTTCTTACTATTACCGCTTTGCTTTTGCTGTTTGTTGTTATTGTTGTTAATGTTTTTGATGTTGTTGTATCTTTAGTTAAACTTGTGAATTTGTATGAATGTCTGCAGTCAATGGACGTCCTTCAGTTGCCTATAGAGTAAAAAAAATTCATACAAAATCTTATCAATGCTTTGAATTACTTTAATATGAAATTATATTGAAAAAAAAATTATATAGTGGTTTGTTGTTGTATATGTTATTATTAATATTGTTGTTGTTATTGTTGTTGTTTTTTTGTTTTGTTGTTACTTTAGTTACAGCTACTGCTGTTTTAGGAAATTTTTATATACAATATTTTAATTTTTAATTGTCAACATTTATGCAGATATGAACTTTATGTATGTTTTTAAAATTATATATGCCATCAATCAGCTTTAAATTAAAAAAAAAAATTTATTTTAAATTATATTTTTTTTATTATTTAGCCTTTTTTCCAAAAAGATTATAGCCACGTTAATTCCATTAACTTCAAAATATATAAAATTTATTTACTGTAACTGTTTAATTGCTATGAAGCGTAAAAATGAGTCAGTTAATTTCTGAACATTAAAACAAAAGCCTATTTAAATAAATTTTTTTTTATATAAGTTTTAAAAAAAAATTTTTTTTTTAAATAATTTAATTTAATTAAGTATGAATATATGATTTGGTATTATATTTTTAAGAAACTGTAATTTTTTTTAATAAATATTTAATGCAAATTTCGTTTATATTATACGCTAGTCACAAAATGTCTTTCAATCATGGCTTAAACGTGTTTTCTATCGTTGCATTAATTTGGCTATAATCATGTGATTAAAAATATATTTTATTGTTTTTTGATATATGTTTATATTGCATAAATATAAAGCGAAATGTCAAAGAGTCAATTGGGCTATAAATCTGAAATATATTTTCAATAAATTAGACATTGAGTTATGTGCGTTTTTGTTAGGGCGAAGAGGATGTCAGGAGATAGATAAAGACGAGATTATTTTGAATACAACATCATATTTGAAGATGATTTGACAACATTTTTATCCAATTTGTTTAATTATATTATAGAGCAGACAGTCTAAAGAAAGAAATCATATTAAAAATACTAAAAATATAAAGAAAATATAAAGAAATTTAAAATAAAAAAAATTTTGAAAAAATTAAAATTTGTTGATTGTAGGTAATAATAAGTGTAACATAAAATGTAAACTTATTTATTTACTTACTCCTCAATCTCACATAATAATTTTTTATTATTTATAGATTTGGGATAAAAAAACCTATAAACATTATGCATTACTGACTCATAAAGAGAATTTGACCCATAATAACCATAAGCACAGGTTATAAACTTATTGCATTTTTTTAAGTTATCACAAGCAGATTAATAGACCTACTATTCCTTGTTCTTCGGTACTAATTCTATACATTTCCAATAATATATGTTCACAATATGTTAATGTTGTGTGTCCGTGTGTAGTCAATATAAGTTCTGAGTTGGTAATCGTGGCACCATTACTTAATTGTGTGTGTGAACTAGATATTTGAGTCCACTAACAAGATATCGTTAAGATTGTTTACTTGTTCCTATGCGTACATATCTGCCATTAGTGTAAGATGTTGTCTTCACAAAAAAGTGAGGAAAATCTTTGAATCGAGTTGATAGTGTTGAGAAAGTTTTGCTGCCTTGTCTTATGTGCAAAGCTCTCAATACGGAGATCTTTATATTAGTTGGATGACCTGATGTAATACGGCGCTTATACGATTATGTTCTGTATTTAGAATTCGCAAAGCTGAAGATATTTCAAAGAGGTTTCGGAACCTTCATATAAAGAACGAAAAAAACAAAACCTGATCATTCTTATTATGATTTTGTGCCCTTATTTGACCCCTTATCTTATTATTATTTTATTACTTTTTATTATATTTATTATTATTATATTATATTACGTTAAATTTAGTTTTCATCGGTATCTTAATTATTCCACATAATACTCTGTCGTAAGTCTAAAAAATGACTCAACAAATTAAAATTGGTTTCCTTGTTTAGTAAGACACTTAGTACTTTCGTGATTTTCTTTCCCTAATATCTCAGAAGTGGCTGCATTGTCCTAGTTTATTGAAGTGGTTTTCCTTAGTTTATTGATGTACCAAGCAATTCGTAGTTTAATAGTTTATTGAGGCACCATGTAGTTTTCCAAGTGAATAATTATTTGTTCAGTATACTTAACCAATTCTGACAGAGTCAATGGTCAATAACTCACCTGACCTGTCAGATATTTTATTGGTTGTCTTTCTTTGAATACTGTATCTAATGTTCAATATTTAAATACATTTTAAAAAACATCTAATGTTTCCATCATGGACAAGTACATTATCCTCTTAATTTTAAATAGAAGAATTTAGAACTACTGCCAAATATTCTCAAGTTTGGATTTATCTTCTGAATCATTATTTATCAAATTTAGAAATTTTTTAATTTTTTCGATTGGTGATTGCAGTGTTTTTGAAATTCTTTACGACATTTAATACTTGTAGGACACATTTTTGTAGACCAGTATTACCATCCTTAAGTTTAGATTCACACAGCTCTTGAAAATTTACTTATTTGATTCAGGTTTTCGTTCTAATTTTTTCGATTGGTGATATAGATTTCGAATTTATTTACAGAACTCAGTTTTTGTTGGATATGATAGGGAATCTTAGGAATCATATTTAGGGGCTTATCACAAATAAATATATTAGTTTATATATATATATTCTACATTTAGTTTATAAATATGAATGCATTGATAATAATATGTGATTTCTTAATTATTATAATATAGGATGCAACTAGTTGTGATTAGTTTTTCAGTTCAATCCTACTATTTTACGAGAGTCTGAAATATGAAACGGTTGCTATAAAGTTCTCGCGTTTAAACTCGAGTATGACCTACTTCTCCTTATAACAGATAGTATCTCCTTTTCTTTATAAATACTATATAATCCATAAGTTATAAATATGTAAATTATATAAACATATCATTATATAAAAATCCATAAACTAATTAATGTATACATTCAGATGACCGCACTGTTTATATTGATAGATATCCTTTTGTCATATGTCTTTCTTCTTTAGCTCTGAAAGGCTCTGATCGGCTTTCATAAAATTTTATTTGAAAGAGGTTTGATCGTCACTCAAAGTGGTTTATTTGTTTGTATCGATATCATGCATTACTATTGTATACATTTTTTATGATATCCTTTGGTTTCATTATATTTTTTGTGACTACATCTCTGTGTTGAAAGGTATTAGAAGGTGAAGGTAACAAGCAAAAGGAATTATGAAGTTAACATAACAATGCAACGATTAAAAAATCCTTTCAGGTGATTAAGCAACAGTAAAAATAATTGAACATGTGCTGTTAACATCAACAGCAGTAGGAACAATGTAAAGCACAATTGCTCCTTATCCTGTTACTCGAATTCATGTCCTCGTATCGTATTTCAATTTCGCTCAACCCCTTTATGTCAATAATTTACTTAGTTATGGAATACGTACGCATTGAATTTATAGTTTATGCATATTTGGTGCACTTCCCTTTCCTTTTTCGAAAGGAACTGCCGTTTCCAGGCAATTAATGTCTGGCGATGTACAAATATGCTCATCACGTCGGTATAAGACATACGGAAAACTTCGACATGCAGCAGCATATTTTTGTGTTATTTTAGGTTTCAGATATCAGTACCGTGTGAAATATTTTCAATTTTTTTTTGATTTTACATTTATTATTTACTAAAATTCAGTTTAAAAAAATTTTTGTTTGAAATTAGATAACATCAGGTGCACTATTATTTAAACAAAAATTTAAATGAAAGTAAAAGAATATTTTTTTTATAAAAAAAAAACACACACACAGAAGTAAATATTTATTTTGCATAATATAAATAATTTTTTGTTTTAAAAATTGAAAAAAAATTTGATAATTAATAGGCGTCGGACAGTGCTAACAAATGGTGATTCTGTGCCTTCAACATCACCACAACCACTGCCAATTACAGTAACGAGCACCAACAGTAGCAGTTCAATTGCTGATCAGGTGCTGATACATCATAATAGCAATTATCAGCTTTCTCCCACCTCAACGGTAGCCACGCGCTACTTTGAGCATCCACAACTAACAACAGTCATTTCAGCTACATCGCCGCAAACGCTACTATCACCCAACGCCGCCCATAATGGAGTGCATGGAGATGATCAAAGTCATCATCTGCATCAGCAGCAACTTGTTGAGGCAGTTACAACCACTGTTAATTTAGGTCCCATGGATGCACCGCATCAAGTGCATCAGGTGCAGACACCAAATGGCACATCTTTTGTCTATGAGTACTATAAAGTGCCGGACAAAGATACAGATGCCGAACTACACTGGAGGTAAGATAGAGTGTGAGATACATTGGTATAATCTGGTAACATGTAAGAAATGAAGTGTCAATGGGTTGTTATATATTAAACAATTATCATTTTTAAGAATTTTACATTAATTTAGTAATATTTTAAATATTCTATTAATAGTTTTAATTAGTACAAAATTCTAAATGAAAGTATTGGAAGTCCTGATATCAGAATAATCAACTCATTGTTTATGAATCTCCGGGTTTTATTTCTTTCTAAGTAAAACGCTTTATATAGTATATATAACAGTCTTCTTATATAAAATATTTATATTATTCCAATTTATTGTTTTTAATGATAAATATCTGTGGATTTTATAAAAGATCTCTTCTAAAGTCTTCTTATTGAAATTCGTTGCAACATCTTTAGAAAGATGTTGCACCTAAATAAAGGTGTCACCTGCCTTTAATGGAAACTAATACATTTAGTCTATGTAAGCAATAAATTTATAGATATTTTTACAGAGATGCTTATGCGAGTTTTTTAAGTCAGATTTTGTGTAGTAACCTTCAAGCCGAGAGAAACTACATATAGTCATTCTTAAATAGTAAAAGAATATGTGTGAAGAACATTACACAAATCAGAAAATATAGACTTTGAGGTGTTTTGTGATTCACATACTGGTTACTTTATTTGCGTGCCCCATAGAAAATATGTGACAATTTTTACCTAAGAAGACATGAGAAAAACTAGAAAGCAAAGAATGTAGATTAGTTTTAGTTCTTATGAATAGATTTCATAGGCTGATAGGTTTGATGGACTTTTGTGGCGGTTGAGCTTTTTTTTCTGTTCAAATAGTGCTATTTTGTTGCTATATATACGGATTTCAGAATAATAGTTTTTAAAATTAGCCGGTGTTGTCGATAAAGAAAGATTATATTTGGAAGACCTATATTTAAAATGTCCACCCGTTTAATTAATTCGTAGATTTTCATATTGGAATGCTTGTTCTTGCTAGACATGTTAATGAACTATTCAATTATTTTCTTTTTCTACTTTTCCTAGCAGCTTCTGAATTTCTAGTGCAGAAGAATATTGTCTAGAGATAATATAAATTTTTTTTACATTTTTATATTCTCTAAAGAGAATATTCTTTTCTTTTTACACCACACCATATTTCATTGTTTAGGTTACATTTAGTTGAAGTGGCGACCTCTAACCAAAATTTACTTAAACACAAATTATGACTTATTGTGATACTATGGGTAAAAAATTGTTTATGTACTGAATGAAAGAATTGCTTATCAAAGAAGACTATCAAGACAACTTATAGTCTTTGTATTATAAAGCCTAAAGTGATCTTGTTTAATTTTATTCAAAATTGCTAGGATATTTAAAGAACCTATACTATCTTTTGCTTTATTCATTTTTTAAGGCTTGTTGAATTATCTAATTTTCAGTTTTAATACCTATATGTGTATATGTTGTATATAAGCACCAACAAAACAAAACATTAACATCACTTTTGAAGGTTATAAGTTTCTATAGTAGGCTCATATAGGAGCTATATGAGTATATATTGTATAGGTATAAGCATTTGCAAAACAAAATATTATAAAAGTATTATACGTACCTATGGGCTTCTTTTTTTTTGCAGAATAAAACTTTTCTTGATCTTAAAATGTATGTATTGTAATGTATATACTTTGTTAAATTAATTGCATATTTTTAATTACATATTATAGACTTTATAAATGCTTTCTGTTTTCTAAAAATAAATATAATTATTTAAATTACTTATAACTTATTTTTCTTAAGAAAGAGTTTTTCTTCCTTTCGAAACACACGTGAGTCAGTATGATAACCACTTTTTTAATACTACACACCCGGAAGTAAAGTCTTACTTTCATTAAAATACAAAGAAAGTAATAATAATGTATATATTTATACATAATCACTACAACCACAATATAGTGTCTAATTTATAATCATTGTGTATTGATCCATTTACATAGTATAACTAGAGCACCTGTAATTCACACTTTGAAAACAGAGTAACACACCTATTTTCTTCAACTTTAGCATATTTTTTTTATAAATATTGAAATACTTAAGGTCAATCGTTCAATCACTTCGAACAAATTACTTAATAATTTAATAGAACAATCTTAACTTTCTTTGTAAAAATGTTTTATTGCTACGAGTAATCCGCCTGCCTGCCTGCCTCCCTGAAGTGATAATAAAAATAATTTGTCATTTAATTTCACCTTGATTAATCAGAGTAGGTGGGGTGGAGCCATGTTTTGCAATGCATCGACACCATTTGCACTGACCACTGTAAATCTATTTTCAATTTATTGATATATATTTACATAAATATTTTTACAAAATAAATGCAGAAAGAAAAAAAAAAAATAATACTAAACATATAAAAAATAAAATCAAATAAAATATTTTATATGAAAACTATGTAAGTGCCGTAAATGAGCGGCTTACAAGCGTACAAAGTAGCCAACAAGCTAACGTTTCGATATATTTCGATATATATTTCGATATCGCGTACATATTCAAATAAATAATTCGTAAGTAAATTGCCAGAGGCAACTTAAAACCCAAGAATTATGATCAGCTCCGGTGCTGCAAAGGTGTGGCCATTATTGCTTTTATTTACGTAGTGTTAAACGTATTAAAACGTTATTGAAAATTGCTTTTTAATCTTTTATTTAAAACAGTTTTATATGTCTGATATATATATATATATATATTTCATATATATGTATATTGTTTCATGTATAAATATATACATAACAAAAATGTATATATTTTTTCTTTCAAGTATGTCGTCGGTCTATAGACGACATAGAATATCGGCCAGGAAGGCATTATAATTGCTTCAAGATTTTTCAATTGCTTTTCTATGAATATCAACACACAATTTTGTTCCAATTTCTGCAAAATTTTTAATTAATTTAGTTGACATTATTTTTATTTATTTTTTTCCATTATTTTTGTGACAATTTTTTAAGCATTTTTTATTGCCTACAGTCATTAATAATTTTTTTCTATTTTACATTTAAGCTATAGTAGTTTAAGGTTTTGATAAATGATTATTTCAACATTATTCATTTTCATGTTAATTTCTTAACAAAACCATTTTAGTTCCAAAATGTTCAATATTATCAATAATTTATTTATAAAAATTACTCTCTTAAAACACATTTTTTTACATATCTAAATATGTTTTATGTAAATATGTTTATAAATTTTTATTCAAAATTTGTAAATTTTTAATTGATAGTTACGTGTCCGCTTTACACCATCAAAATTATAGCACGAGTATCTGATTTATTTACTCGTAGATATATGAGAGTTTTATATAATTGGACTTGCTGTAAAGTGAATTATATACTTTTATTAATTTTATATTAAATTGATTTTAACGTCCAATTTGACAAAAGAAACTAAATTCTTCATATAAATTAATGATTTCAACAGGGAGTTTTTTATCGAACAGTAGTGAATTGCAACAACATAAATTTTTTTAATTTTTTTAATTAATTGAATTTTTGACGGACTATAAAACTATATCGAGTATTGCCAAATATCCACACTTAGAAAAATATGTTCTAACCACATACTAGTTAAATTGACCTGATCATTTTGTTAGCAAAATTTTAGCTCCTGTGGTAAAGAAGATATATAATATAATGTAATGGTTTATGGATTAGGCTAAAGTCTTCATGTACTGCAACCAGCTTTATCTATTTTGCACCCCGTTTTAGCCCATGTGGTAAAGAAGATATGTAATATTATGTAATGGTTTATGGATTAGGCTAAGGTCTTCATGCACTGCACCCAGCTTTATCTATTTTGCACCCCATTGTATTTTTAGTTTTAGTATCTCGAGAAAACGAGCTTGAAGTCTTCATCCTCTAGTTGGTATGCACCTAAAATTTTGTGTCTTTCGTGGCCTAGTGCATTACAGTTAGTGATCAGATGAACTCGTTGTCTTCATCCTTTAGTTACTATGCACTTAAAATTTTTTATCTTCTGTGGCACCACAGTTGGTGATCAGATGTTCCATAGACTCTTTCTTATCACAGTAGTATCTGCAAATATTTGTGTCGAATATACCTATTTTAGGTGTTTATTGCAGGTGGGGTAGCCGTTAGTGCACAATACTTTAGACTCTTTCTCTTCCTTTGGCACTTTTGTGGTCCAAATTCAAGAATTTTTTGGAGTGTTTAAGGCTATCTATGCCATTCCAATATTCTGTGATCTTTTGTTTTCCTTTTTTGGTCTCATGTTTGTATGAGATATAAAACCGACATGTGGTATGGTTCAACCAACATGCTGGTTCGAGTAAGAATATTTTGACCTGAGACTAACTAAAAAATCTGTTTAAATCAAGTAAATTGTTTTTTGTGAGTGTATCAGCAGTAGTCAATATTAATTTTAGAAACAATAAAGTTATCTTTAATAGATTAGTTAGAGTATTTAAACGTGGTTCCATTAAGGTTATGGTGTTAACACAGTTGTGAGGAATTGTCAATTGGTCTTTTAACTAAAGTGCTATTAAAGAACACTAAAACGCATTTTTAAAGCACTATATTATTGACAGAAGAAATAACTTCAATAGTTGTATAAATAGATAATGTTACTAGTAGAGAAATTGAGTTCTTTTTTTAATGTAATTTTTATTGAATTTTGTGAATAGACTGGTATAATATGGTCACGCTTTGAAGAAGGTAATATTTTTTTGTGTTTAATGGTAGATATTAATCCAAAAAGTTTTAAGAATTGTAAATAAAATGTAAGAATTTTAAAAAATTTGAAATAAAATTTGTTTTAATTGCCTTTACAAGAATTTTTTTGAGTTTTTACATTAAAGTATTCTGTAATTCTTTTAAATCTAAATAAGTCTGCAAAATTTTCGATGAAGCAACATTGCCATAAGAAACGCAAGCCATAAAGTAATTCAGGTCTAATTACTGGCTTTTAAAGTAGAATTATATTTTTCACACTTAAGTTTCCTTGCA